AATTTTTCTTAAAAATGATAAAGGATTTCACATGGGAAATGGCATGGGATTTGACATAAGAAAATTTTTCAAAAAAATGATAAGAGATTTCACATGGGGTTTGACATGGGAAAATGTATCATAAAAATGATAAAGGATTTCACATGGGAAATAACATGGGATTTCACGTAGGAAAATTTTTCAAAAAAATGATAAGGGATTTCACATGGGGTTTGACATGGGAAAATTTTTCATAAAAATGATAAAGGATTTCACATGGGAAATGGCATGGGATTTGACATAAGAAAATTTTTCAAAAAAATGATAAGAGATTTCACATGGGGTTTGACATGGGAAAATTTATCATAAAAATGATAAAGGATTTCACATGGGAAATAACATGGGATTTCACATAGGAAAATTTTTCAAAAAAATGATAAGGGATTTCACATGGGGTTTGACATGGGAAAATTTTTCATAAAAATGATAAAGGATTTCACATGGGAAATGACATGGGATTTGACATAGGTAAATTTTTCAAAAATATGATAAGGGATTTCACATGGGGTTGGACATGGGAAAATTTTTCATAAAAATGATAAAGGATTTCACATGGGAAATGACATGGGATTTGACATAGGAAAATTTTTCATAAAAATGATAAAGGATTTCACATGGGAAATGACATGGGATTTGACATAGGAAAATTTTTCAAAAATATGATAAGGGATTTCACATAGGGTTTGATATGGGGAAATTTTTTATAAAAATTATAAAGGATTTCACATGGGGAATTGACATGGTGTTTGACATGGGAAATTTTAATATAGATGTAGATCATCGTTATAGTTTTACAGTTACGCCACTAGATGGTGATAATTTTTCTTTCTCACAGTTGAGATCATTCTTGAATACTATATAAGCTGAGACTTTAACTCAGAATGTGTATTGCAAAGCACAAATTTTTTTCTTTTCAGATAAATTGCAGTAATATTATTTAATTTTTAATTAAATAATTTTTAATTTTTGTTAACTGCTTTCAGCATAAAACATTCAACTGAAATTATACCACATAAAAACCTATATTGTTTCCTATATATAAATCCATGTGAAATCTTAGGTTGATATTTCAGAATCTACATGAAATCCCATGTGATTTCCTATGTTCAAATCCATGTGAAATCATATGTAAGAATGCACATGAAATTCTATATTGATTCCTACATTAAATCTTGTATGTAAGATTTTATATAAGGAAATCTTAAGAATTTCATATAATATTTTTTTTAAGATTTGATGTGAGTTAATTATGAAGGAAATTGAAAAAAGTAATATGTCAGAAAAATTATAGGAAATACTGTAGGAATTGACATAGATTTCAATGTGGAAACAACATAATAAATTCCTGCATGAAATCATACACCAAATCGTGTCCGAATTTCATATATGATTTCACATGGAATTCCATGTGGATTCCTATGTGGACCTAGGATTTTATAACGGTTTTTATAAAGGAACCTATATGGAATCATATATAGGATCCCATGTGGGGATTTTCAATAGGGATTATATTTTACAATTAAGTCTTATTTTCCTACTTTTAAACCAGTCAATAATTTTATCTTTATTTATTTATATAGGGGAGGATGGGACAAGGATAGTTAGGTAAGATATTTTTGGATCTAGCAGTGAAATTTAAACTGGCATCGGAAAAAGAATAATATCGTTCAAAAGCCTGTTTATTTAGCTACAATTTTGCTATACATTGTAGATGGCAATGCCTTCGAGATAATATTGGAAAAGTAAAAAAAAAAATTTAACTATCCTTGCCCCACTAGTGGGGCAAAGATAGTTGAAAATTTGTTTTTACTAAGAATGATACAAAAAATCATGAAATTTGATTTTCCATTGTTTCAAGGTATCGAATTATATTTGTCAAGAATTAACAATAAAAATTATTGTTCTAATTAAATCGAATCATGTTTAATACAACTTAGCACTTAAGGATGAGCATTTTTATCAAAAAAACATGTTTTTTGTGAATTTTTTGAAAAACAAAAAAATTATTAAATCGCGATCCATAAAAAGCAATTAGCATTTCGTTTGCAATTAAAAAATTGTGTTAGCCAGACATTACCTTATCATAAGTATTACAACAAGGCACTAACTAGTTTTGCCCCGTGAGCGCTTTTTTCGAATTATCACAAATTTTTAGTACAAAAAATTTTTTTTTTTAAAAAAGCAATATGATATTCGTTTTCAGCACAAAATTTTATACCAGAAAACATTTACGTAAACAAATATATTTAATAAATTATATCCGCAAAAATAAGATTGAATAATAAAAATAAGGTGAAAATATTTTAGCAAAACTGAGATTTAACACAAATGGGCACGTAGCTTCTACAAATAGTGTCCCCGCAAGCTCAAATTTTTACTGTCGTCTTTTGGTGTTAAGACGAGTGTACATGATAAATGACCCGTTTTTTTGACGAGCCGTTTCTGTATTAGAGCCACTAACTATCCTTGCCCCTTAACTATCCTTGCCCCACCCTCCCCTATATATATGGAAAAATCTTATCTTCCAGATAAAAATTTAGAGTATGAAAAAAAATTTTTTTATTTGATCGCAGCTGAAAAATAAGGTTTATTTTAAAAAATGATAAATATACATTTAAAAAGTATTTGAAAAATATTAAAAAATCCTCACTTATTTATTATTTTTTTAAAAAGGAACAAATTTTTTTACTATTTTATTTTAAAATTATTATTCTTAATAATACATTTTTTATAGTATTTTAGTTTCATTTTCGTTATTAAAATCTTTTAATTAAAGAATAATAATCTTTGTATTCATTTCTTCATTCATTCACATTTTCTTAGTACTTGAATTTTCTCATTATTATTAGATTATATATACATATGTATATATCTTTACTTTGATAATTAGGGTTCTCGAAGGTTTCTACCTGAAATTTGTTTTGTCAAAACAACTTTCAGTTGAGGGTTTTTTTGGAAAAACTTTTTGGTATTGGATAATTTTAGCATTAAAGATATTTGGATTTTAAGGATAAAAAATTATATTGGATAACATTAGTATCGAATATATTTTGATATTGGAAAAAAATATTGATTATTTGAATATAGTGGAAGTTGGTTTTTGGAAAAATTTTTTGGTATTGGATAAGATTGGTATTAAAGATATTTGGATTTTGAGGATAATAAAATATGATATTGGATAACATTGGTTTTGAATATATTTTGATATTGAAAAAAAATTGACTGTTTGATAATAGTGGATGCTGGCTTTTGGAAAAGTATTTAAATAGAAAGAAATAGGGTTGAATATTGTTTTAAGGGTTGAAGTTGTTTTATGGGTTAAATAATAGTTTGTGAGTCGAATATTGATTTGAATAATAATAAAAAGTGCAGAGGAAAATAAGTTAAATAATAATCATTATCGAAAATGATGTAATGTGGAAAAAGATTAAACAACGCTAATTCACGTTCATAAAAGACTATCATTGTTGCATTAGTTAGCTGAATTATAGTTAATGAAATATTTTATAGGTGAAACACATGTAAGTAAATTTTTTGAAAGCAAGAAACTAAAATAAACGATTACTTTTGAAAATTAGCTTTATCGACAGTTTAAAAGTTCAAGAAGGATACCATGTCGAACATAAAAGAGTATTTTATTTTAAATAATAAAGATTTTAAGAATATTGAAAATGTAAATGAAATGTTAAATGATATGCATATGTATAAATTTCAAGAATTATTAAAAAATGATTCAAATTCTTTTTTCATTATGCAAAGTAGTTTGTAATTACAAATGCTTGATTTAATTATTCCAATTGGAGAAAGAGATAAACATATTCAAATAGTTTTTAGCGGTAATAACAATTCTGGTCATTGGATTTGTGTTTATTACGATGGAGTAATATTTTTTTAAGGCTATTTATTATTTATTAAGACTATTTTTTAAAGCCTTAATGCAGGGTGTTTGAATATTCATCAAATAGAATATTTAATTAGATTTTTCCCTTTTAAACCAACAGAATTTTTTGTAGGTGTTGATCAACAGCCGATTGGTACAGTTAAGTGTGAAGTATATGAAATAGCATTTGCTGTAAATTAAAAGATTAATTTATGAAACTGATAATAATATAATGAGCAAGCATTTGATATCATTTTTTGAAAACAATTAATTAAATCATTTTCCGGCAGTTAGAATGTCTAATATTAGGATTTCGATTTGTAGAGAATCATTGAAATTGTCTTTTCATAAATCGTAATTTTATTCATTTACAATTTTATATGTATCGTCTTTCATAGAGAAGAAAAAAGCGTGGATTGCCACATGTGCGTTTAACTAGATGTTTACGTACACAAATTTGCGATTCAGAAACTTTAAATAAAATGATATGTGCTGAAATCACAGACGAAATAAAGAATCCAGAACTTTATAACGTCATTGTAAAGCGATTTTAAGTTCATATGGGCCTTGTAGTAAACAAAAGAGGACTTCACCCTGCATGGATCCTGAGATGGGTCAATTAAATGTATTGCTGACAATTCGATGATCGTAGCATATAATCTTTATTTGAGTACAAAATTTAAAGGTCATATTTACTGTGCAATAATAGGTATTATATTATTATAACACCATAAGGTTGAAATAGTAATACAGTAATCATTACAAAAATAATATTATTATTTTTGTGAGATCAAAATTCTAATAACTGTCCGTCAAATAAAAATAAATTTTTAATTTTTTATAAAAAATTATAGATACCACGCGCGTTTACGCGCGTTTCTTTTAGCTAGTTTAGATTATAATGTTTGAAATTTTTTAAATGTTCTACGCCTTTATATTATCTGTAAATTTTAAATCGCTTAAGTCGGAGAAGTTATTTTCTTATCTGAAAAGCCGATAAGTTCATGAATTTCAAAATTAGATAATTATATTCTTTAGATGGCTTCTTAAGTGTATCATAATAATATTCCCAAAATTTGCATTCGTGTCCTTCCTTGTTCACGAATTTTGAGATAAATTGTTCTTGATTTGTGGCAAGGTAAACAAACGATGTTTCAAATAAATGTTTATTGTCTTTATCGACATATTGCTTCAAAATTTCTTCTGTCAATGTCTCCAAAGTATAATCTACGTTTTCTTTTAAAGTAATTTTTCTTTTTCCTCCTAAAGAACCAGTAGTACCAAATGATCCTTCAAAATTTTTTTTTGTGCCACCAAGTAAAGAAAACATGTTTCTTTGTTTCTTTGACAATTTTTTGCTGGCGTTTATTACCAATTTTTGGACCAGACTGAAAATCATAATCTGCACTTAAAATTATCATCATTAAAATAAATGGTTTATAAAGAATTTATATAACAAAAAGCAAACAACCATTTCTTAAAGTCTCGATTAAAGTTAAAGATAAGAACATATATAAAATATCATTTATGACAATTAAATAAAAATGCAACAGATAAAGCAATTACTTGGTAATGTTTGAAATTAGAAACACTTTACCGTTTTCTTTTTAGTCGATTTCTCCAAATCATTTTTATCTAATTCACTACATATTTCGTGAAACCTTTTCCTCTTGTTTGCACCAAGGTCCTTTGGAATTGGAGTAACTAAAAGAGATATTAAAATCATTAGTGTATAAATGTTTTATTTAACAAATTATTTATAACATTAAAATTAGCATAAATGGTTAACAAGATAGTAGCTTTAAAAGAATTTTACTTAAAAAATATTAATTTTATTAAACAAATGCAGTTATTTTATTTGAGAATATTAAAAATTCTAAGTAAGAATAAGAAATTTCTGTACGCCCTCATGAAAAGGGACCACTTTAGCACTAACTATTAAATTATTAAACATAAAATGTATTATCAACTAAAATTATTTATTTCTTAAAAGGTGATAAAATTATAAGAAAAATAAGACCTATAAGAAGTGATTAATCCATGATAAAATTCCGTACCTGTTGATACAACAACGTCGTAAACCTCGACATTTTGCTCTAAATGATAGTGATGCTCATCAGTTTCCAACAAAAATGTTTTTCCATTTTCAGAATATTCCAATTTGCTTCCTTCTGGATAATTTTCGGTGATTACCGATTTTTTTAGCAGATTATCTTTAACCTTCACGTATCTAATATTGTTTTGAAATTTTATTTCAACGGTTCTAGAATTTTGATTCATCTATAATAACAAAATTATATTAAAATCAGTTTTCAATAACAATTTAATGATATAAACTTTAAAGTACATTAATTGTTTTATTAACGTTAAATGTTTATTGAAATCTTATATATATTTTGTACCTTAATTAAATTAACTTTGTTTAATAAAAATTGTTTGATATATAAAAGTTCTGTACAATTTGCCTAAAATGTGATCAAATTGAATTGTTTATTTTTGTTCATAGTAATAAAATAATAAAATTATACTTAAAGTACATGTTTTAAAATTACGATTTAATTCAAGTTTCAAAACTCTCATGAACAAAAAATTCTTTTCTTAACTTTCTTGGCAATAAGAAAATATAATTAAACCACAAAATAAATAAATAAAAAAAATTACGCATATGCTTGGTTTTGAAGAATTTTACGTTTTCAAATAGCGGATAATTTAAAAAGGAATTTTTCTTCATTGAAAATTAATTTTAATAACAATAAAATAATAATTTATAATTATTATTTGTTGGAATTTCATTGCAAAACAAAATTTCTAAGTTATGCGATTAAAATAGAGACATTATTACTTTGGATGTTTTCGTCAATCACTGGCAGTAACTAAAACCAGTGAACAGTGGTACTCAATGTGAAAAGATGTTGGCTTTTCAGTAATTGGTCACTTTCCGTAATAGCACCTTAAAGTCGTTTTCTGTTTGGCGCAGAAATTGCAGCCTTCAGAGAGCCTGCGACAAAATATGAAACGTGCCATAGGTTTTTTCGAAACGTAACCTATTTTTCGGTGTTTTCTTCGAAATTCTACTCCCACCACTCAACTCTGTTGCTCTAAATTTGCTGCCAGTTACTGGATAATTTTTCTAAGCAGTTAAGAACAGCAGTAATCCCAGTAATAAAAAATAAAAAAAATTATCACTTTTTTTACACTTGTCTAACGCGTGTCTAATTGATTAACATTCAATTAAGAAATTAGACATCACAGAAAATAGTTGGCAAATCTTCGATTGTCTCCATAAAAATAATCAAGAATCGAAGATTTCAATTTTAACCAAATAACCACGAGTTTTATGCAATTTGTGCAGATTTTGTGTGTGTCTCAAATTTATTTTTTGTCGTGATGTCGCATTATTAAACACGCGTGGTTCATGAATTGTTGGTTCCTAATTGTAAATACAAGTGACAACAACAACAACAATAAACACAAATATTTTGGACGACAAATGAAATAAACAAAATAATCGAATTATCTTAAAGGAATAAGTTGTCATTTCAAAGAAGGAAAAATGGCAGAAGGTTTGTAGTCTTTAAAATTTTTAAATAATTTACATTTTCTTCAAAGATCCATTATTTTATGTATATATTTTAAAAGAATAGAATTATGCGTAAAAAGTAAAGCAAATCCGTAGAATTGCGACGTTAACTTATTTATTTTAATTATATTTTAAAAGATTTTAATCTGAAAAAATACTATTCAATTATTTCTGAATATTAAATTAAAATTTTTATAAATTGTCTAATTATTTAATCAAATTATTTTAAAAATTGTACATATATACATATATTAATTTCATATTTAAAATATTTAAGAAATGCTTATCAAATCGTATGAAAATTGTCATTTATTTATTTTAATGATTTTTATTCTTATTTATTCTATATTTCTTAATTTGTTAAAAAAACGACAAATGGAAAAAAAATAAACTGCAAAATTATCGGCAACTATTGATGAAAAAGTGAAAAACAGCGCGATATGCTGTTTACTTTTTTCAGTGCATTTGATTTTGACTCATGTGTAAATTATTTGTAGTTCTTTAATTAAAATTCAAGTTGCAATAATAAAGTTTTTTGTTTCAAAAATAAAGCTATTGCTGATGAACAAATAGTGTTGTCGATTATGGCAGCTGTTGTCATGATTTTCGATGACGAAGAGGAAGAAGAAGACGAGGCACGAATTTTAATCGCAGCGGCTTCAAAGGAAAAAGTCCAAATTCCTAAAACGGAAGACTATTTCGAAAGTATAATTCCAAGATTCTCAAACTCAAGTAAAGTATACTAAATAATAATTATAAATTATTTTATTAAGAAATTAGTATTTAAAATTTTTGAAAAGACTATTTTTGCGAAGAATTTTAGTCGATAAAAAAAAATTGCATAATTTTAGGAGACGAATTTTTTTTTACTAATTTTTGATAATTATTAAATTAGGTAGGGGAAATTTAAGTTGAAAGTTTTAGAAAAGAATTACTGAATTTATTGAAAATATACAGTTAAAATAGATATTTAAAGGAATTCAAATTCAGACGATATAAAAGTGGAATGTTTGCAAAAATCTAATGAAATAAAAAAATTTCAGATAAGTAATTGATAATAATTGAAAACTGTAGTAAATGACTCCATTTGTAAAAAGATTTGTTTAAAATTATTGAAACTAATTAATTTTATGAACAACTTTAGAAAAAAAATAATTGAATTTTTGAAAGATTAACAACTAAACTGCTGTTTGAGAATATTTTTAAGTAAAAAAATTGAAATGTTCATACTTTACGTCTGAAAAAAAGGATATTCAAATTTTACAGAACAATTGAATATTTCAGTTTTGTAAATTAATATTTTATATTTAAAAGAGATATAATTATAATTTTTAACATTAAAGCTCTGAAACAATATTATAAAATACATTTTTTATAATCTAGAAACAAATTCTCTTAAAATGAAAAAACATTATGTTTAAAAGGCATCACGACTTTACACAGCATTTCAGTTGAAATAGTTTTAGAAAATATTGATATTAGGAGAACTTATATAAAAATTTTAGAATATATTTAATCGTATGAATTACTTAATAATTAATTAAACATCTTCTGTGAATGATTAAATTTTTAAAGAGTTTTCATTAAAATTTTTTAGATTAATTCCATTTTTAAAGAGTTACAATTGAAATTTTTGTCATTATAATTAAAACTGAATTAATGATTAAGAATTAAAAATTTGCAACAATAAGTTGTTAATCAATCGACGATTTTAACATTTTTATCCAAAAGCCTAAAAAAATCGAGTGTTTGAGAAATTTTACTTCAAATTTTTGAATGTACAATTGATGAGAACACTGTATAGGTATGGAATTCTGGGTCCATCGTGTACAGAAATGGGACCCATCAACAATATTGACCCGCAACATTTCTAGATGGGTTTCATCAAAATGTACATACACGAGGATCCCAAAGTGGACAGTGTTCTTTTCAAAGGCATGTGATTGATAAATTTTCAAATAATTACAATTTTGAAGAATTATTAGTTTTAATTACGATTTAATGACAATTGGTAATTATTTGCAGCTTTTCGCAAACATTTTAGAATGAATAGGACTACTTTTGAAAATTTGAGTCTGATGCTGAGTCAGGATATTATTAATTTTGCTCCGTACTCGATTATGGTACGGTATTGTACGTCTGGTATTGATTGGAACACATTTTTTTATATCACAATCAGAAGAGTGAATTTTATGGTAGCTCTTCTATAGTTAAGATAGTAATTACTCTAATAATACTCATTAAGAAAAATTTCCATAAAGTTAACAGTAACTTTTTCGTCACAGGAATAATCGAGTACGGAGAAGAAAAATACTCATTATGCGTACATAAATTTTTGTGCGCAACTAAAACTGAAAACAACAAGAAGAGAACGGTTTCAAAATGTAACAAAACAATCATCGTTTTTCATTTTTCACTTCAAATTTAAGTTATTTACTTTATTTGTTCCGAAACTGATCAATTTTAAACTAGAAAGACGTGAAAATATCAATTCTTTGAAAAATAACTTGAAATCGGTTAAATTCAAGCACAATAAATTCTTTTTAAAAAAATATCAAAACGTCTATGAAATATCAGCGGTTAAGTTTCATTTCTAACGCTGTAAAAGGAGAACAAAAATAAGTCGACTTATCGTCTCTTAATTAACGAGTCGCGGACATCTTTCATTATGTCCAATAGTGCGTCTTTTCGCTCCAAATTTTCTTTGTGACGAAAATTGGCATCATCGTTCATTTCTGTCATCGAACATTCTGCATCCGGCTTCTTTGCCTTTGCGCGCTTTAATCTTTTTGGAGAAATTTCGATTTCATTACCATTAACATCAATTATGGAAGAAACTTTTCGTTTGTATCCTGCCAGACTCGAAGCCACTGCCGGCGGATTTATTTCGGGCCTTTTGTACATAAATTTATGCATTTCCTTGAAGGAAGTCGACTTTGACTCCTTTGACGGACTTGTTCCGGTTTGTTTACTCCGATCAATGGTGTTTTTGTAGGTTCTACATAACGAATCCCATTTTGATTCACATAGATGCGCACTCACATCATGTCCCTTTTCTACCATTACTTTTGAAAGAAGCGACCAAAACTTCTCCCCTTTTAACTTGCATGTCTCTTTTAGTGACGAATAACAATTTATCAATGCCTTGGTCATGTCAGGTGTCCACTGTGTACGCGTTTTCTCTAAAACAAAAAAAGTAGAATATTGAAATAGTACAATCCACAGCAATTAATAATAAATTATTTGAAAATATATTAATTTAAATTACAAAAAATTTACTTTTCAATTAAAAAGCTTACTTGGCAGTATCTTTTCGTTTCCCTCATCGCCACAACGTGGTTTTGTCATTTTTCCCTTGCCAACAAATTTTTTTAATTCCGTTTCTGCAAAGAAAAAAGAAACAAAAAAAACGAAAATTAATTGAATAAATCGTAAGTTTTAAATTAATTGCAATGTTTATTAAACTTGTGTAAAGATTTAAATGTCCCAGTTAAATAAATGTTTAACGTAAAACTTTCCTGAACATTTAAATTACATTTTCGCCTAAGTCATTATAGCGAAAATGTATTGGACATGTTCAGGAAAGTTTTGCGCTAAATATTTATTAAGTGGGAAATTTAAATCTTTAAACAAATTTCTATAAACATTGCAATAAAATATTTCGAAAATTTAAAGTAAATCTTTAGGAAATTTTCAGGAAAGTTTCGCTGTTGTGTGGGCTACAATACACAGTGTATTAGCATGTATTTTTTCTCAACGAATCTTAATTTTCAATCATAATAGTCATATTGGTTTTAAATTTCGAAATAAACTCAAAAAACTGCTAAATAACACAAAAACAAGAAAATTTTTTGCCAAGACACTATACTAATGTATTCCGATGTATTTTTTTCCCACGAATCTGAATGTGAAATTAAAATTGCTATATTTAGCTCAAACTTTTAAAATAAATTTTAAAAACTGTCTAAAGACACAAATTTTTGAGTTTATTTCTAAAGGTTAAGCCAATCTGGAAATTCTGGTGTCAAACACCCTGTGTGCCGTTTACGTGATTTTTAGAAAGTGTGCCAGAGTAAAGAATTAATCGAATTTACTGAATATATCTATTACACGAGTCCATCTATAAAATACACAACACGTTAAGGTGAGAAGGGGAAAGAAGGGTTGCATATTTTTTTGTGACAATTGTGATAAAGAGGGGGTTGTGTCATCGTTTGTAGTCTGACATTACAAAGTAAAAAAGTAAACATACATTTATGTATTTTGTATTATTTGTTTGAGCATATAATTTTTAAATATGTTTAATAAATCATGTTGAGTAAATTATTATTTTTTTCTTTTTTTTGGGCGGGAAGGAGATATTTTCTTCTAATGAAATAGTTTGTAGGAATTTACAAAACACAATTTTTAATAATAAGGACATAACATAAATTTTTAATACTTTAAAAATATCTTATGAAAAAATAATGATATTTTACTAACATGTTTAAAAATGAAGGGGGGAGGTCAATCAATTTTGAATTTTTGTAAGACAGTTTGTCAAAAATTTGACAAGATGTGCCAAGGGGAGTAGTGGGGTTAAAAAAAGGAAAGAACTGTGTGTGTTACTGACGACCCCGAACCAATTTTTTATACTTTCATTATTCTGACGTAAACATTTTCATCAAAAACCCCTAAGTACCTCTGACTCAAATTTAAGAGCAATTGGTTACAATTTTTGGTTTTTCAATGTTTTTGTCTGCAAAAACAATTTTATCCTATTACATCTAGGCATGTGCGGTAAATCGGTATACCAGTTTACTTTCAAAGTTTTTGTGGAAACCGGTGGTCGGTTATGAAATCCCGGTTTTCGGTTTTTTTAAACCGGTTTTTCGGTAAATGCCGGTTTTATTATTATTATTTTTTGTGATTAAGCAACTGTTTAGAACCGTTTTTTTACAAATATATTGGTATTTTAAATATACCGTTTTTAATATAATTAATAATCCGTTTTTGGATTTTCAATTCTACACAGGTCTGCCTACATCTCGGTTAAAAGTAGAAAATGTTTGCAAAATTATGCTCAAATGTGACAAAATAATATGTAATGCCCACTAATATGTAGGCCTCAAGCAGTCCATTAAAACATGAATAATATTATGTAAATTTTAGATTTCTTGATTAATATTGTTCTAATTGATATTCTCCTAAGTAAATTTATAAACCAACCTAAATCCATTTTCTCACAATTCTCCTGACTCTGCTCCTGATCCTGAACCTGATCATGATCCTGATCCTGATCTTCATGCTGATACTGATCCTGATATTGATCTTGATACTGATACTGATCCAGCTCTTGCTCCTGTTCTGCTTCTTCGAGGTCGTCCTCATCCTGTCCGTAATCAAGTTGATCTTGATCAGCATTTGACGTAATTGCGACAAGATATGGCGGTGGCGATATGTCCATATTTGGCACCTTTTCAGGTGGCAAATATATAACGGTTTCTCGTCCTAAAATGAACATAAATATTCAACTAATTTAAAAAAAAATTAACGATGTTTCCAAGGCTTTTAAGGTATAGCAAATAAATATTTTCGAGGATCACCATTATGTTATTCGTAAAATTGTAAATCTAAATTATTTGTAAAATCACAAACTCATAAATTTTTTCTTACTGATGAACTATGTAATTGTTAACGCTTATTACTGCCCTTATAAAGTTTTAAATGTTTAAATGAACAAATTTAAATAATATTCTATTTTAATTTTATATTTTATTATAAAAATTAGCATTTTGAAAAAAAAGTATCTTCAAAATTGAAAAAAAAGAAAATTTAAAATGAGTAAAATATACGGGTTTTAGATAAAAAAATTAAATGAATATTTACTGAATAAGACCCCGAATATCATATAAATAATAATAATAATAGTAATAAATAAACCTTAAATTTTTGGAAGTATAGATCTATTTTCAATTACCTATAACTTAAAAATGCTTGATTTTAAAAATATTTCGCCAAATAAAAAAAGTTTATTTTCTCCTTGACGATTGGGATGCAGTTTACAAAAAATAATATTTTGCATTTTTATTTTAAAAATTAAAATTGTTTATAAACAAATTCATTTTTTCCAATTTTTTTTTCTTAATTTTTATCTGAAAATGGTAAGAATAGTTTACATGTAGTTTTAGAGTGGGCCTGATAAAAATATTTGTTAATAATTTGTTTGAAAAAAGCAATTATTTTTTTCGTTTTTAATTTGCATTTTTATGTGTAAAATGTAGGGTTTAAGTGAAAAAAAACTTTTTATTCTAATAAATGAAAATAAGAATTAAGAAAACAGTTTTAAAAATGTATATTAAAAATAATAATTGTTTATAAACAAATTTATTTCTTTGAATATGGGGCGTTTAAAAACTTTTTAGCTTTATTTCTTGTCTAGGAATGGAAGAAACAGTTTGCAACCAATTTTGGAGAGAGAAAAATATTCAAATTGAAAAAAATGAATTTGTTTATAAGAAATGATGTTTTAAATAAAAATTCCAAAATTATTTTTTTTGGTTCACTTTATTTAAAAGTCGAAGAAAAAGCAAATTTTAATCTTTTGACGAAATTCTTCACAAAATCAATCATTTCGAGTCAAAGGTCATTGAAAGTAACCCGAGCCCGACCTGACAAAAATTTAGCCCTATACCCGATTCGAGTTTTCGGGATTTTGCACACCTCTAGAAAGTTCAAAACTTTACAACACCCAATTTATGTTTATTAAACAAGAACAAACTTTATTTGAAATATTAATACAATTTTAATATTGTTTATCGCAAAAAAATTTCTAATGTGCACTGTAAAAATAACTACCCATTAAAAAATGCTTGTGTAATACATTTTTTTAATTGTATCAGTTCATAAATGAAATTCGTTCAATTACTTCTCTTTTTTAAAATAGTAAAATACGTTCAAAAAATGTTAAATTACCTAATCGAAAAACAAAAAATGAAATAATAATGTTGAGTGTAAACTTATTAACATCAATTAATTTTAAAACTCGTTCATATTTAAATTCTTTTGCCAAATTATATATATAAATTATATTTGGAAAATTCACATTGTTGTGAATTTAATTGAAAGTACGTTACTTACCGTTTGAGTCCAGGGCAAAACACATAATCAAATTGCTGTTGTCGGGATGATGAAGCATTTTACCCGTTGTCGGGTCAAAAATAGCTTCAACCATTTTATAGTGCTTATCACTCATTTTCTTCTATAGTTTGTTAAACAAACTGGTCATCAAAATAAAAAATCGGACAAGTGCGAGTTACACTCGCACTGAAATCGAGGGTTCCGTACTCGAAGCGAACTTATTTGGTATAAAAACAAATGTTTAAAAAATATGTGTTGTATGACAACTAATATAAGTGATACAAAAAGGAACAATTTTGTAAAATTCAAGAAAATTGTTCCTCTTCGTATCACTTATATTAGTTGTCATACAACACATATTTTTTAAACATTTGTTTTTATACCAAATAAGTTCGCTTCGAGTACGGAACCCTCGATTTCAGTGCGAGTGTAACTCGCACTTGTCCGATTTTATTTTTTAAAAAATATTTTACTAAAAAAATATAAGAAACATAATTTTATTTCAACTCGCAATATTTTTATTGTATTTACATTTTAAAAATATATTGAATATTAAATTTTATCTTTCTAAGTCAAAAAGAGATAAAACTTAAGATATTGATATAAGGCTAGTAGCTGCTTGTCAAGGAAAAATCGAAAGTTATCTAAAAAATAAAATTTGTTTATTAATTCCAGAAAAATCAACTCCAATCATCCTCGCTATATTTTTTTTGTAATCTACACGTAAAAATACGTCAAAATATATAAATTTGAATCACTGTAGAAAAACTTTTTTCGTTTTTTGCGGAAAAATACATTTTTTTCTGAAATTTATCATTTTTCTTCAAAAATTTGATAAAAATTGATCATCAACTCCAATCGCGCTTACATTTTTTCCCTGTATTTTTCACGCAAAAATTGAGTTTTACAGCAAGTCTGAACAGTCTGGATTAAATATTGTGTGCGCTAGGGAGAATAAATCATTTTTTTCGAAATTTTTGATTTTTCCTTGACAACGCTATGTAAATTAATCCGAATCAAGTTCGCTACAATTTTCCTGTAATTTTCACGTAAAAATACGTAAGTGTGTCAAATTTGAGCTCTTTATGTCAAAAGATGTGACCGCTAGGGGGGGGGTACATACTCATTTTTAGGTATTTTTCGTAAAAATTCATGGTTTTTCCTTGACAACGCTATGATAATCAACTCCAATCATGCTTGCTATATTTTTTTTGTAATCTACACGTAAAAATACGTTAAAATATATAAATTTAATTTCCTTTAAATAAAATTTTGTTCGTTTTTGGTGGAAAAATACATTTTTTTCCTAAAATTGTCATTTTTTCTTGAAAAACTTGATAAAAAGTTAATCATCAACTCTAATCGTGACCGCTTTTTTTCCCCTGTATTTTCCCCGTAAAAATACATTTGTATACTAAATATGATCTGTCTGGGTTGAATATTGTGTGCGCTAGGGAGAATAAATTATTTTTTTCGAAATTTTTGATTTTTCCTTGACAACGCTATGTAAATTGATCCGAATCAAGTTCGCTATAATTTTCCTGTAATTTTCACGTAAAAATACGTAAGTGTGTCAAATTTGAGCTCTTTATGTCAAAAGATGTGGCCGCTAGGGGGGGGGGGGGTACATAGTCATTTTTAGGCATTTTTCGTAAAAATTCATGGTTTTTCCTTGACAACGCTATGTTAATCAATTCCAATCAAGTTCGCTATAATTTTCCTGTAATCTACACGCGAAAATACATATGTGTACTAATTTTCAGCCCTCCAGATAAATTTATGTGGCCGCTAGGGGGGGGGGTACACGATTTCAAAAAAACCGATATTAATAGGGTTCCGAACCGAGTACGGAACCCTAAAAAGAGGAAAATAAATTAATTAATTAACAAAAAGAGAGAAGAAGAAAAGAATCTTCTCTTCTTTTCCCATTTCCAACCCTTTTCCCACTCTAGAATTAAACAAAATATAAATATGAATGCATATATGTCATTTCATCACACTCAAGAGGAAAGAAAAAAAAAGGAAGGAGAAAGGTGTTATCTTATAAAGGGTACTTGAGTATATTTAGAGTTTATATATATATAGATATAGAGAAATTTAATCAGGAGTAGGATTGTAACGACAGTGTAATTTCAGTTCAAAATTTGATTTGCTTCAAGTTGACTATTATTGAGTGTCAATGTATTCAATTATAATGATTAGATTGGAATTTACGACCTTCAAGCATCAGTTGTTTGTATCGGAGACAATAGCGATGATGACTCAGATTGGTGATTAGAAGCCAATATACAGTGAATTGAAGCGATTCCTGATTTAGAGTTTATGAATATTATATTTTTAGTTTCAATATTATAGCACATTTATATTATTTTCCAAAAATAAGAGAAGTATCCAATCGATGCACTGTATTTTAAATGGTGGTATGACACACAGGGAGATCTCAACTGAGTAAATCAAAAATAGATTTTGGAGTAGTATAAGTTATTATCGAATCCAATTTCTTTAAAAAAAATCACGTTTTCACACAGATCACAGTTCGGTTAAAACAAAACTAATATTTGTGGGTTTTTAACACACAAAAGCAAAAATTGTTAAGAGCGGTACAAATTAAATGTTCAAAAAGACACAAACAGAGTGAGGGGACGGAAAAATACGTCCATCCTCACAGACATCACAACGATGAATCCACTTACACATTTGACACTCAAGTGTTTGATTTTAGAAATTCATTCACAAAGTAATCTTTAACGCCATCTAGTGTATAACGCGCGTATCACAGCTGCCGCTGATGGTAATATACATATATGGTAACTCAACAACTGTATGCATTGTACACTTAAAACATCTATTATTGAGTAATTATATCTTAATTTATTGTTATTATTGTATAAATAAGACCTCTAAATGTCTATTAACCATTCCTAATAGTTATTTACAACATATTTCGTCGATTAACGACAATTTTTCACAAGTAACCGAAACGTAACCGAATCGTAACCCAATTCGGTTACTACTCGGTTTACCCAATCCGCCAGGGAGGAATGTTTTAATAATTTAAATTGTAAAAACGTTTTTAAACGCTATTTATAATATGATGATATTTATTCAGGCATGTTTATATTATTTAGCTCTTTGGCAGGATAAATTAGGATTTACTGCTGTTTAATCAGCTAGACAATTATGTTAAAACCATTAACATAACCTCAATATAAAAAGTCGTAAGCATACAATAACCAATAAAACTATAATTAAAACATTATCTTAATCTACAATATTAGCTGTTAAACAATATTTATTTATCTTTTTGTGTTTTTGTCTCAAATTTGGAAAGCAATTACATTTTTATTCAATTTTTTTTATATTTTATTTATTTTTTTATATTTATTTTTTATCATTGTACTCTTTGAAAATTTTTTCAGATTTCTGTTTGTTGAATTGTCACAAGGAATTTTTGTAAGAGAAAATAATAGGATCACATAATATGTAAAAACTACATGTGATTTTTGTAACATCTAAAAAAAATTAAAAATTTACATTTAGTGAACTATATACTTTGTAACGACTTCTTTAACTAACGTGGTAAATTCATAACCTAATTTCTTTATTCATCCAACCAGCGAATTTAAATAATTTAACAAATTTCCACTATTTCATAGATTGAATAATGGGGAATAATACTAGAAATTACTCAGACAAGGTAAACGATTTCCAAATAGTTGAGTTTATTTCTCGTGGACCAAAAGGTAAGAGGCAAGCGGACATCGTACCTCTTACATGGATTACACATGATAAAAAGAGAGGTCATTATCGCACAAAATTTATGCCACTACCCTACACGGAGGACAAATCTAATTTTTTTCATCACCTTGTTAAAACAAAATCTCCTCCATTAGAAGACTGGCCAGACTATCATATTAATTTTGTTGGAGAAGGCAGTATGTATATTAATCAGTATAATTAACTTTAATGATTATTATATATTTAATAGAAATGTTTTATATTAATTTCATTTTTTTCAAAGTGTACACGGAGAAACTTTGAGTATCACTTTTTGTTAAACTCACTATGTATTTTTAGTAAATTGACTACTAAAGTGGGGAAAAAACGGGAAAAAGACGAAATTTCTTATTTAATAGAAGTCTCTTTAACAATATATGACCTCCTTTTTTCAATATTTAGTAGTCAAGTTAAGAAAAATTCGACGTGGACAGTGTCGTAACTAAAAAGGGTTAGATGAAGCCCCGACTTAATCGCAACAATTATTAATTAATTTTTAATTGAATCAGAAATAATATTAATGAGGCTTTACTTTAGGTTATTTTTCTTTTTCTGTCTTTAAAATTTCACAATCCGGTTAGATTATACATCGAAAATACTTTTTTTATGAAGTTAGGGGCGCTTAAAACATACAGTACTCTCCTGAGCACATGTGAGCTTGTCTATGAAACCCCCCCACAAAAAAAATATATCATGTCATGTACATCTCTTATATCCAAGCTTATAATTCTTTTAGTTTTTGAGAATCAGTTTCAAATGAACACTATTTTTGTTTTTTTTGTAAAGTTGAAGTGTAATTGTGTTACTTCGTGTCAGTAAAAGTGAGGTTAGGTGCGATACAATATTTATACGTCAAAGTTATTAATCAAGACAAGACAGCGGAAACACCAAGGCGAAGGAACAAGTTCTCATCAGATCACGGAAGTTAAGCGACGTTGGACTCGGTTAGTACTTGGATGGGTGACCACTTGCATTGACACTCGACGAAATGTTTTTTCGTGAAATTTAATTTTCGATCCAATGCCAAATTTTAGTAGTCAGATTAAGAAAAATTGATATCGTTGCATTTTTTCCCCACTTTAGTAGTCAATTTACTAAAAATACATAGTGAGTTTAAGAAAAAGTGATACACAAAGTTTCTCCGTGTACAATTTTAAACACATTTTAGAAAATAACTTTAAAAAATTCAAAATCTGATACGACTAAATAACATTTTGATCCATCTACTTTTAAATATTAATTTTATACCAAAGAAAACAAAATTTACGATATAATTCTCTAACAAAAATTAACAGACTTGTACAAATATTTTATAAATTACTTAATTAAATACATCATTTGGTAGAGACTTATGATAAAGCTAAAGAAAGATTGGATGATTTAAAAAATGATGATAAAACGATATATATTCAAGCAAAGGAAAGGACAAAAACTATCATTACTCAAATAGATACAATTAAAACGAACAATTCGAGTTCTTTGATGATTATCATCAGGAAAATTTCAGTAAACAACCATTTTAATTATTTATTTTACTACATAAATTAGCTAAAATGAAAAAAAATATATAACTTAAGTAAACTTGTTTCTACGTTATTCACTAATTTTTAGATGAAACTTGATCTAATTGACGAATCACTTCAAATTCATAAAAGCAAACATTCGACAAATTCTCAAACTGTGAAAACCCCAAGACCACTTAAGAAACTTAGTAATCGGGGATATGATTTCGATAAAGGTTAGTGTTTAAACTTTTTAATAAATAGGGTACAATAATATTTAAATTTTAAATATAATAATTTAAATATAATTTTTAAATATTAATTTACAGAAGTTCTTGAAAATGTGTTCAGTGAAATAATCAAAACCAAAGGGAAGCATAAATCTAAAAATATTTCGCCTGGTATAATATATTATAATTGTAGTGTTTGTATAAAAATTTATAGTATTCGTATTTTAATTTCACGTTTTCACAGATACATGTCTTCTATTGGATGCAATAAAGGGCCTAAGTGTTCAAGTTGAAGAAGTCCCTTCTAAGCAAAATACAATGCTACACGGAAAAAATAAGTCAGCAAAACTTTCGTAAACTAGTATTTCACTTTTGGACGGGGCACAAAATTTTAAACGTTTCATACACTTTTTAGTAATGAAGCATAAACTTTACCGAAAAAGTGAAACAGAGTCAAGAAATTATTTACAAACTGTATAGAAAGATCAGTTTGTTAATCTATATTGAACAGTTTTTAATAATATTGTTTAAAGATTGTCGAAATTCTATAAAAAGTTTTACAACATTGTAATAATTGAGGTTCGAAAGTTTGAAACATAAAAGAGAGTAGTTAAGACAGCAGTCAACGAAAAAATCGTATACTTTTTCTGAAATTCCGAACATGCGCACTTCGTAGCTTGGTCAGTGTTGATCAGTGAAATTAACTTCTTCGTTCGCGTGGCTCTCGATAGCCGCGGCGGTTAGTTGCTAAGACAAAATGCGTTATATATCTTGGTTAGGTAGGTTCGAATCCCGCGGAAGCGAATTCCGAATTTTAATGTCGATAAAATTGTGTATAGTGCGTATATAAGATATTAATAATTGTGTTTCAAGTGATGTACAAATTAAGTAAAAAATACACCTGAATGTGAAATTTTTTTTAATTTTTCTAAATTTTTTGTGAGTTTACAAGCGTTTGGTTGACTGTCGTCGAATTTTTATGCATATAAGTGTAACGAAATCTTTGGTGCACGTACTTAAGTTCTAGCTGAGAGTTTATATGAAAATTTGATAAACTGATTCCGAAACATCAGAGCACATTGAGCATCGGCTCGTATACACAGTTCACATTTTTATAATTAGTTTTGTTTTCTTAATAAACTGTGTCTATACTTTTTGAATAACTTTCGTTCCCGTCCAAAAGTGAAATACTAGTTTATGAAAGTTTTGCTGACTTATTTTTTCCGTGTAAGATTGATTGAATCCCTGATTCTCAAAAATGGTTCAACTAAATCTAAAGGATTTGTCACAAATAATAAGTTGAATTTAACATTTCAAAATATTGAAAAATTTGATGAGTTCAACAAGAATTTGGAAGATCAACAATTTTGCGATGATTTTTGTAAGTATCTACCTATATTACAAAAAGATATCGCCGCCAACGCCGCCGCTGTTCCAAGACTCTGAATATAGCCGCAAGTCAAGAGAGGGGGGGGGGTAGAAGAAAAGAGAGGGGGGGACTTGAGGCTATATTCAGAGTCTTGAAACGATCTTAACCTTTAAATTTAGGGTTGGGGGAGGGGAAGAGAGGAGGGGGGATGGGAATTAGCGCGCGAAGCCGCTGTTCCAAGACTCTGAATATAGCCGCAAGTCAAGAGCAGGAGGGTAGAAGAGAAGGGGGGGGGACTTGCGGCTATATTCAGAGTCTTGAAACGATCTTAACCTTTAAATTTAGGGTGGGGGAGGGGAAGAGAGGAGGGGGGATGGGGGTTGGCGCGCGCAGGGGGCATAGCTCCCTAGTATATATATATAAATATGTTTGCAATTAATAATTCTTTCATCTGGGCTCTAGTATTTAAAACAAATTTAATTTAATTTTTGATTTTACTCCTTGAATTAGAGCAATTGATTAAATCATAAAAATAAAAATTAATATTATTTGCAGATTTCCTCTTTATACTTCCTTACTGATAAGGAACTGAATATTTGCAAAAGCGTCCTCAATATACTCAAGAAATATATGTCAAAGGAATTGGCTTTAAAATTTACCAATGTCAAACAGCAGGGGAAAAAATTTGTTTTAAACAAATATAAAATTCACGAATGTATAGTGGGTATGTAAAATTTTATATTTGGAACTAAGAAGACTAGAAACAGGAGGTCGAAC